GTCAGCTGCAGCTCCCTGCTGCAGCCACTGGGGATTGCCCGAATCATCAAAGCTCTCTGAATCTTTTTCGACCTGCCCACCGCCACTCTCTGGGTGCAACCTCTAAGCCACTTTGCAACCCACCTGACCACGTAATCATCTACATCACAGCCTATCAGTTTATTTACGAGAACAGAATGAGATACTGTATCGAAGGCCTTCTTAAAGTCTAGGTAGATGACATCTACCTTGACTCCTGCATCTAAGCATTTTGTGACCTGGTCATAAAAAGAAACAAAGTTAGTCAAGCAGGATCTACCTGCAATGAATCTGTGCTGATTTCCTTTCAGCATTATTTCCTGTGGGGTCAATGGCTAAGAATAATCTCCTTTGACCTGATCAGATTGCATTCTCCCTGATTTATTTGTTACTCTCATAATTAACAGAGCAGTTATCTAGAATCCTCTGCCAGACTCATCCATACAGAACTAGGAAGCCCTGTGTACCACACAAACATTCTATTATAAAAGCCTAAGTCTGTCTTTCCATAACATTTTATTTGCACTGATTGGCTGATGGAAACAGCCAGAGTGTTCCAAGTGTGAAGGAGTGCTGCCATGATTCTGAAGCCACGCCAAGGACCGGACAGAGGGCGGGGGAGTGGAGGCCAGCAGCGCTGGCCTTGGCTCTCCCACCCCGCTCCCTGCAAGAAGCAGAACAGCGGCAGCATGGGGCGTTAGGTGGCGGCGCTCCATCCCAGCCTCCTCCTCCCCCACCTCATTCTTGACAGGCAATTGGCTAGCCTCTCATAAATGCCAGAATCCTTGCCTTTCTCTTGGGCCATTCTACCATGCCCTGCTGGACAGTTTCTAACAGAGGGCTAGATTATCCTTTCCTGAAAAGAAGCCTCTGGAAAGGAGGCCATCAGGCCAAGAAATTCCTCTCGAGTTAAAACTAGCAGTTTCCATGTAATCAGCCCTTCCGGCAACCTCTTACAGAGTAAAGCATGTGTGGGCTGTGCATACTGTTTTGGTTTTAAACACAAGGTCAGTCCAGGTGTCAAGAAAGAGTCCCCCTGGCAGGCTGGCCCTTCAGTACTTGTGTACCTGTTTCTCCTTTACTCTGGCAGAAACGGTTCTCCAGATCTGTTGCCCCCCATGAACCATATCCCCCAGACCTAGGGAGCAACTGCCCCATGGAGTCTCCACAGGAACTCACACTACCCACAAGCAGCATACATTTCCAAGCAAGTTTTTACCTGGAAGTGCAGAGCTTAATATGGGCAACAAGGTAGGCTAGAATGATCCTTCAGCCTCCCAGACCAGATCAACAGGATCCTTGACCCTGAGCTTTAGGTCAGGGAGGGATGTAGAATGGTGGAGATAATTCATCAGGAAGGTTTGTGCTCCACCACAGAGGTCTCTCCTGCTGGCCTTCACTCCTGTGCAGACCAGATGAGGCACCCCTGCCTGGGGAGCGCTATCAGAGAACAAAGCTTTTGTTGCCTGTGAAATATTCCTGTGCTGTGAAATGGACGATTCAGTCCAAGCAAAGACAATTAGTAGGAGATTCCCAAACAATCCAACAAGTCAAATGAAGAAGCTGCTGATTAAGTCCTTGACGAGCATTTTGTAGCTGAACATGTCACTGTGGAGCTTGGGCTTTGTATAAAGTATACAGCAGATCCAAGGGGAACTAGGGTGCTAAGCACATCCCAGGTCAGGGTCTGAATGCCAATGCATGGCTTTGGATATAGCATAGAACTAAGCTGAGCATTACAGAGCTTCTGTCTGTCTGTCATGACTATACTGGGAAAAAATTCTAGTTGTTTTGGGTCTGCAGCATTCTGCATCTCTGCATATTTCCATGCTGAGGTGCACTTAACATTTTACCCATACCTCCCAACCCTGCATTCCTTCTATAGTTTGCTTATTCCTGCCTGCCCAACATAGTTAGTGGATGACTGTCTATGTAGGGCTCTCTACAATGTCAGGGTACAGACAGAGAAGACTTGCATTGATGGCGGCGATTGTCACCATGTTGGATTTGTATAGCTTAAGCCACATTTCTTGCACAGCTCTCCAGAACTCGGCATAGTGCTCTGCACTCTTCCCACACATCTCCTTGATATCCAAGCCAGCTGAGAAGATTTTCGGGACAGCCTGTAGCAGGGAAATGGAAATAATCAAAGGACAGTTAACATTCAGCAACTGCTCCATTACACTGAGCCACATAATCCAACACCTCTAGGACAGAGACTGTTTCAATTTAAAATTCTACCCGAACTGCAGGAGTGTGGATCTTTCACAGTTCTTACATGATCTCTTTGGCATTTATCTAAGTGACCTTTTTCCTACACGAATACTGTTGTTTGTTCAAGGTCATGTTACAAATAGGCTTGTAGGGCTGGGAACAAAAGCCAAGTGTCTGGATTCTCCGTCTAGCATCCTACCTACCACCAATTCTCCCCAAGAACTTCTGCATTTGGTCAGAGCACAAAACCTAATATGATCTTCAACCACATAACATGCAGACACATCTAACCTTTTCACAGATTTCTCAAACATTCTCCAGCTCAAGGAATCTTGCTTACAACTGCTACCAAAAACGTGTTAGCAAGAGAAAAATCCCTTTCTTTGCAATTAGATTTTAATTTAGTAAAGATTATGGTATAGTCCTACCTTGATACCAAAAATTCCACATAATTTTTAAAAACACAGAAAAATTTCCCTTCCAAACCAGGCTGCTCTGTCACCATTTCCCACTGTTCTCAACAACCTGCAAGTTAGTGATCAGATCACTCCCCTTTTCTGACAGAGGTAGCTGAGAACATGGCTGCCTTGCAAGTTCACAATCACCATTTCTTACGTTGTGTGAAATGGCTGCTAAACAGCAAAAGTAGAGGTGCACCAATACGTTGGTCAGATATCCGATCGGCACCGATATAAAGAAAATTGACTATATCGGAAATCGGTCTGAATCGGCCAATAATTTGGCTGATAAATGCCCATGCATGTGCACAGCTGCAGCACAGAACATAGTCAGCGAGAAGCACAACCCTTCAGCTTGGAGAGATGTGTGCAGCTCGTAAGTCTGTTGTGGTGGAAGGGGGCAGGGAGGAGGGAAGGGGTGTGGGAGGGTAGATCAATGGGGAGTGGGGTGGCTCCTAGTGCTGCACGCACCCTGGGATGGGCGGGGCAGTGCAGGGTGGGCTGCAGCTGTGCCAGGCTCTTCCCAGTGCAGGGGCTGGGCGGGGGAACGGAGCTGGGCCACACTGCACTTGGTAGCAGTGGCATTAGGAGAAGGGCTATTTGGGGAGAGTGCAGCCACCCCGTATTTCACCATAGTCCCCCCATAACTCCCCTCCCAGTGCCGCAGTCACCTGCCCCAAGCGCAGCACAGCCAAGCCCCCCCACACACACACCAGGAAGATCCCAGCGCAGCCCCTGACCCCAGCCCACCCCACACAGATCCGGAGGCATGTGCCCTGCCCCTCATGCCCTCCAGTGGTGCACAAAGCAGCAGAAGCTGCCCCACCCCTGACAAGCCATGGCTCTGTCCTGTGCCCCGCCCTGTCCCAGTTAGGCAGTGCCTGCCCCAGCTCCACCCTCCCTCACCACAGGGGCATTGATCTGCACCTTCCCCCACACCTCTTCCCTTCTCCCTCCCCTTCCACTGCAACAGATTTACCAGCTGCACACAGCTGTATTGGAAATTGGATCAGTATCGGCCGATATGTCTCCTTAAAAACTGGCTATCTGTATTGGCCCTCAAAATCTCTTATCGGTGCACCCACCTCTAAGCAAAAGGACTAAACTGAGCAAGAAACAAGGTTGGGTCTCGCATACAGCTGCACCTTGCATTCCCACTGGCTAGCTGAGGTGGCCCCAGAAAGGATATCTTTATTGAAGTGTAACACGTACAGATGTCAGGATGACTCCACGGCAGCCTCGGTCATTCTCCAGTTTCTCCAGGCTTATTGAAAACTCTGTTAGGAAGTCTAAGGAGAGGCTGTTCACAGGAGGACTCTTCATCTTCATCACAGCTACCCCTGCACCCCAGTAAACACGAGAGGAATTAGAACCCACCTCAGTGATACCTGCTGGGCCACTAAGTAGCACACTCCAGTCTCACTCAATAGCATCTTACTGGGTATTGCCATTTGGATACTCTCAATTCAGCTCATGACAGGCTTTTTTCAGATTAGCTACTAGGGATGCAAACACCTGCACAATTCACAAAATTAACCCAGAGATCTGAAATAGACATCCATAGTGTCAAAAACTTCCTAAATTCTTTGCAACAGAAGAATTGCTCTATTACTTTTCTGTAGTCAAAAAATGAGTGAACTTGATAGCTTGCATTTCCTGAGGGCTGCCTTGAATCTAATTTGGTTGAGAACCACTGTTCACTCCTCAGGGCATTTTTCAGTTTAATTTTTTGGAATCAGAGCACCCACGTGGGGATAATTTACTTGTATAACTGCTACAATTCTCGTGTAGACAAAGCCTAACTAACTCATAGTGTAAAAATGCACGCAACCACAACCTGAGCATAACTGACATCATCTTCCTAAGCAACAAGCAGACAGCTGTAGCTGGCCCCACTCTGACGAGAGGGTCAAGCAAGCCCTGCTTCTGAGGTGGGTGATACCTGAGGAAGGGTGCATGTGTGATGTGGACACACCAATCAACACTATTCTGCATGACCAGGAATAACAATTCCCAACCTCACCAAAGGTTTGTCAAGGACAAATCCATCAAGGTCTGCAAGATGCCTGGATATGCAGAGATGAGAGCCACAGAAAGTCTCCTTGGCATACCATGAATGGCAAGAATAGAAAGACAGTAAATGGCTGCTCATTGGCAGAGCACTATCTGTCCTACCAACTGAATGAGGCAAAAGCTTTGTGACCGAAATAGCATGTGATCACGTATCTGAGGATTGTAACACAAGGAATACACAAAGGGAGAAGAGAGAGACAAGTTAAAGTTAAGGGGTTGACCTCAACTGCATCACTTCCTTGGTGTTAAAAACATTGCACTTTGCTACCTTAAAGCCTGTTAAGGCTGCAGTGTTCAGCCTTCCTCACCCAAGAGCTGAGACTTCCCCCTTGTCTGGGCACACACTTTGGGTGAACAACTTAACACTGCCATTTCCCCCTCCTGCCTCCTCTTCTCTTCCAAGAACTTGGCAGTATTGGGGCATCTTCGTTTTCAATCCAAAAGTTACTTCCCAACCTCTTGGGAAACCAGTGAGCTGGTGCAGAGAAGCAAGCACTCCCTTGTTCGAGTTCTGTTACCAGTGCCACCTTACCATGAAGCACACACAGTCCTGCCTTCTTTCCTACACCACCTCAGTGGAAACACCTTCCTTGGCACAGATTCCAGAAGGGAGCTCTCAAGAACCCTGGCCTCATCTTCCTCCAACCAGCCACCAAGTTCCCCTGTATCCCTATGGTCCCAGGAAGGGTCCCACCCCAACCCTTTCCTTTTTAACCCCTATGCCTCTCAGAAACTATCCATAACACCCCTCCCTACTCTCCTCCTGTCCTTGACCTGCTCCCTCCCCAAACTCTATTCAAGCCAGTTACTGTGCACAATGCCGGTCTAAAACTATCACTGCAATGTGGAAACCCTGTCTAGAGATCCAGGCCAACTGAGGGCTTCCCCACTCCCCTAAAACCTGTCAGTCCCGGTCACTCAGGGTCTGCAGCTGCTCTGCGCTAGCACTCTGTCCTGGAAGTCTCAGCTCCCCCTCCACTGGGGCCAGGCCCCTGCCACTGCTCTCTCACTGCCCAGCCTCCCTTCTTTTAAAGGAGCAACAGCTCAGACACTGCTTCCCTCCTCCCCCTCCTGGGCACTCAGGTCAAACTCAGCTTTGGAGCAGAACATCGCAGAGCCCAGGAAGTACCCTCAGACCATGGCAGTGTCACATGCCAGCAGGCTCTGCTGCTCCCAGCAGTGGCAATGCACCCACTCCACATTCCTCCCATCCCAGCAGCTCCAGCAGGAGTCAGGGCCACAGGGCTTCCTCCAGCACTCTATGTCGGTGTTTCTCAACCCATCGGTTATGACCCAAAAGTGGGTCCCAAGAATATATGGAAGGATCAGAACAAACTTTAAAAATGGATTCTCCTGTAAAGGAGAAAAATGTGGGAAACTGCAGCTTTTCCCTAGCAGACTGGCAGAGTCCCAGCCTGCCAGGGGCAGCTTGGTGCCCCCCTGCCCCACACACTGGGGTGCTGGGGCCTGCGGGCACTAGGTCGGGACTGGCCATCGATATTTACAAATGGGTCCTGGTACAAAAAAAAGGTTGAGAACCGCAGCTCCGCGCAGAGGGCCTGGGCACATGGGTTGGGCCTGCGCCTGCTCTAGCAAATAAACGTCCAAAGCGAGGTCTGCGCCCGCCGGAGGCAGCGCTCACCCGCGCCCTCCTCCAGCTCCACCAGGATGTTGCGGGTGCTGAAGAGCCGGCGCGAGGCTCGGCCCGGCCCAGCCCAGCCCGACAGCGGCCCCGACACGGCCCCTCGAGCCCCAACCGCTCCCAGGCCCAGGCCCCGCCGCGCC